TTGATCTCTGGGGCTCCTTGAGTCACAGATGGCCCATGTAAGCAGCACTGGCAAGTGACAGTCTAGTCCCAGCTTTGCACAGCCTGGCTCACTGGAGGGGTAAGCAGGTGGACCTTGGAGGTGCTGACCTTGGAAGGTCATGTTGGGAACCCAGGGGCTGAAGCAGCTAGGCTGGCGGGGCTAACAAAGCATACTGCCCTGGAATGCCAGGCTCTTGAGGAGGCTGTCCTGTTTCAGCCTCATGAAAGCTGGAGTGGCAGTAGGCAGGACAGTGGTGAGACTAAAGCCCACACATCCACAGTCCTGGAATAAAGACCACCGATGGTGAGAAGGACCTCAGATGGTGCTGCTAGTCTACTACTGCCTGGCAGGAATGCCTGAACTCATGAGGCCCATGTGGTTGTCCCTAATTTATAGGCAAGACCAGCTGAACAGGGGCTAGAGAGATGGCTCAGTAGAATAAGTGCTTGCCTAGTAAGCACAAGGGTCTGAGTTCAATCCAAAAAAAAAAAAAAGACCAGCTGAACAATTTCCTAAAGGTAAAAGGCTATGAGAGAGGCTCTTTGCCACCAGGTACATGACATTTAGGGCCCTGATCTCACCTCTAAGCCACACTGCTGGGAACCAGTGAAGTGGCTGGAGCCAAGCCACAGAACTCTGAGCGGTTGGCGTACCCAGGCAATGTTTTCACCTAAACTCATCCTACACTTTTCTTGCCTATGTTGGGTGCTGCTAACCACTCCTATGAATGCAGTCATGTAGATTTTGGGTGACCTCAGGGTTTGTCACCCAAACTGGTGCATTTATGAGGAAAAGGAGACCCTACTTATTCAAAACGAGGCTGGGGCAAGAGGCAGAAACGTGATGGACCCAGGCACATGTGGTCCCTGGGCAGAATCTGGGCCCAGGAGGCCGGCTTTACTTACATCCACTTGTATTGCAACTCCATGGAGCTTCTCTCCCTTCCACCGATGACACGATCTTTGCCTCTGCCTCTCCTCCCTCTTGTAAGTTCCCTGAGCTTCTAGATCTCACTGGCTATGCCTTGATTTGTGAGGCAGGCACACCGTGGTGGGACAAATAGGACGTGGATCATTTCAGTGAGAAATCTGTAAAGGCCTGGCAGACCCTTGAGCCCTGGCAGCCCAGAAACTCTGCCCAGCTCTTCTGATGATCAGTTAGTCCCTCAAAATGACAGCCCCAGGGCGGTCCTACGGGGCAGCCTGAAGCCACTGGGCCAGCTATCAGGGCAGGGCATGGAGTGGCGGCGCCTCCTGCTGCCCAGACTATCAGGGAACATGTAGCCCACTGCACAGAACACAAGTCTGTGTGGCCTGGCCATGTCCTTTCCAGGGGGCATGAGCCCTGCCTTGAGGCGGTGCAGCTACCACGGCCTCTGTGGTCTCCCTAGCCTGGGAGAAGGAGGCAGCACTTAAGCCCGCTTTTATTTTACTTCTTCCATAAGAATCTGCCTTAAGAATCACAGGCCAAGAGAAGAAAGAGTCTGTTTTTTCTTTGGAAGCCAGGAAATCCGTCTCCAATCCAGTTTGCGCACAATGCAGGTAAAGTAAAACATTACCAAGAGAGCAGTGGGCACCCATTTGCTCCCATCTGCTCCCGGCCCACCCCGGGAAGGCATCACAAGCTCACAGGCGAGGGGTCAAAAGGGACAGGAAAAGCTGAGTGGCAAGCAGCGCCCTCTGTGTCTACTCTTGGAGGCACCAAATGGTAGGGCTCTGGGGCCTTACCTGAGGCCACCTAGTGAGCTTTTTATCTCTTGCAGAGATGCTTTTAAGAATGACAGCTCTGAATAAGCTGGAAAGACCTGTCCCAAGATTAGGTCCAAGCACTGGGTTCAGCAGTTAGGCCCAGACTTCCCTTCTCAAGGGCTGCTACTCAACCCTTATAGGTCTTATTATCATCACTATCTGTATTTTTGGTTTTAGGATTGGTATATGCCTGTGATGCAATTATAGTTGTCTTGGGGCCTGGTACATTTACACCTCGCAGCTTCACCTTCATTCCTTGTCCCTCCTGGTCCTCCCCTTATCTCCCTCCTGACCATCCTTTTTCTATCTCCACAATCTACTTTCCTTCCTGCTTCCTATTGTTTCCCTTTTATTTTGCTCTTTAAATTATTATGGGTTTCTCATGTAGAGGAAACCAGGCAATACTTAATGTTCTGTACCAGCTTTATTTCCCTTAACATTATGGTCTCAATGCATCCATTTTCCTGTACGTGACTCTAGCCTACCCTTTTTTATGGCACAGTAGCTCTCCATTGTGTGCAAACACATTTTCTTTAACTGTTCATCTGGTGTTGTGCATCTAGGTGGATTCCAGAATTCTGCTCTTATGAATCATGCTGCTATAAACATGGGTGTGCATTACTGATGTTATTGAGATGAAAACCGGGAATAAGAAAAGGGAAATGCTACCCACCCGGGAGCTCATGGGGGCAGCCAGCACAGGAGCACCCAGAAGACCAGTGATGGCCCTGGCTTGGTCTCACTGACAATGATGGTAGTGATGCTGATGGGCTGCAAGCTGCTGAGCCCTGCCAGTGTTCTAGGCAAGGTGCCGAACAGGGTGTGGTTGCCACTCTCTACCCTGAGATCAACCATCCTGGCAATAGCAGAGCCCCAATTACTCACATCTTACAGACAGAAGTGGGAGCAGCTCAGAGAGACTGGTTAATGATGCAGCAGGTGCTGCTCAGGAGGGCAAAGAGACTGGGTCCCCCGATCTTGGCCTTGACTAGGCTGTGAGATCCTTCACAAGTCACTGTTCTCTGTCCTTCACAAGAAGTTTCAGCCAAATGCAGGATGTGTGGAGGCACACCCCAGCCATTCCCTTTGGACTTTCTCTTCCAAATGTCACAACTGTCTGTGTTCTGGTTCCATGTCTTAGATGGCTGAAGAAGTTTTTAGCAGGGGAACCATACCTTACTCATGTTACAGATGAGGCTAACTAGGTCATATGGATGCTTAATTTGTAAAATTTGTCTTCTTCAAGGGTGGTGATCAGCTCAGTGCAAGTGGGGAAGGAAAGGAGCAGCAAAGACAACAGCAGGTAGGAAGACGCTGGTGCTGGGCAGGCAGGGCCTCGAGGCATTGCCCAGGAAGCCAGGGTGCAGAAGCATCTGTCAGCGCATGGGGAAGACAGGGCTGTGGGGAGAGCCTGTGCCTGTGCCCTTCACATCACCTCTGGGGAAACGTAAGTGGTCACCTGCTCTGCACACAGTGAAGGAGGGTCACTGTGGTACCTAATACCTACAAAGCATGATAAAAAATACGGTCACACACACACATATTTTTAAACATATATTACAGTAGAAGGCACATTGCTTCAAACACACTCATCCCTTCATTCTTGCAACTTTCTGCAGCAGCTCTGGTGCTGGTGTCAGTGTCTCCTTCCTGAGTGTCTTTATAAGGTGTCATCAGAAATCCAATGACTATTGTTGCGGAGCACCATCCAACAGAACGGAAGGCTCATCCACTTCAGTTATGGCATCTGGAACCATGTGACTTCTGGCTCTTTTTCAAAGTCAAAATGATCAAGAAAGGGAAATATTTTGAGCCCATTCAGGACACCAAGGCAGCCAGGATGGTGAAGCTAAAGACCCTTAGGAAAAAGGATTCCAGAGCTGCTGCAGAAAGCGGCAAGGATGATGAGATGAATGTGTGTGAAGAGAGGCAAAGGACTTGGGGGTGATTTGTGGGAATTGTCCTTTGGTATAATAAAGGTTTTTTTTTTATTTTTTTGACAAAGAGTCAGTCTCACTCTGCAGTTCGTACGCCCTTGAACTCATGGTGTACCCCAGGCTGGCCTGAAACTCATGGTGATCCTCCTGCCTCAGCCTCCCAAGTGCTGGGATTATAGGTGTGCACCACCATGCCTGGGAAGGTATAATATAGTTTTTCAATTGAAACATTCACCATATGTTCTGATCCCTCCTGGCAACATCACCAGAGCAGTATTTGCACCAATCTGAACTCTGCTTGGAGCTAGTACAAAAGAAGCCATGCATGGCCAAGCACACTCAGAAAACCCTGAAAGCCCATCTGTAAGAGGCATCTGTGGTCTGAGTTTCCAACAGCTCCGTGTGGTCCAGCATATCCTGCAAACACCTTAGCTCTTATGGTGACTGAAGCCACGTGGCTGTCATGGCAAACACCACCTAAAGGCCAGCTGCTGCCTCATCTTGGGACTGCCAGGGCCCTCTCAACACCATCTACACTGCCTACCATTTACACTTTCGGTTTCTCATAGATAAGAAACCATGCACTATTTAACCTTCTGTGTCTTATTTATTTCACTCAGCTCAAAGACAAAGATACAAAAACAAAAACATTGCCTTTGCAGGATGATGCATCAGGTAAAGCCTTTGAAGACGCAGGCATAGGCAAGGACTTTCTGAACAGAATCTCCATTGTAAAGTAATACCAACAATCAACAAATGGAATGCTCTCAAATTAAGTGGCTTCTGCACACCAAAGGAAAGAACCAACAGAGTGAAGAGATGAGCTACATCATGGGAAAACACTTTGCCAGCTTTTCCTCAAGAGAAAAGCATCTTTGTATGAAGACGAACTCTGTGAAAAACACCATGAGATGGAGCCCTCCGAAGAACATCCAGCTCCAAAATCACAGGAGGATAAGGAAGTTGAGTTTTTAGTTTTTGCCTGATCAGCTCCTGCCTGTCATCCAGGGGAGTTGGTTTGCACTTCCTTTTTGTTTTTTAAGACAGGGTCTTGCTATGTGGATCAGGATGGCTTTGAATTCATGATGTAATCCTAACTAGCCTTAACCTCAAGCTGATCTTTTTGCCTCAGCCTCCATAGTGCGAGCTTGACAAGCATATACCACCGTGCCTGGTTTTGCACTCCTAAGTCCCTGATTCCTCCTGTGAGCTTCAGTCACTCACAAATCAGATATTGGGGCAATAGAACATGCCCATCACTCTGAGTGGGACAGAGTTAAAGACAACAGCTTACCTGCGACAGCTGGGCGCTGGCTTATCCCTGGTGCTGAGAGAGGTTCCACTGGCCTGAACAAGCACAGGTTGGAGCTTCAGATGTACACAGCTTGGTTGCGCTCCTCCTTGGCTCCCTGCTGTAAGGCAAATTGGAGTCACACGGTTACCACCCAGGCTACACAGCACCCCTGCCTGCCCACGAGTCGCACAGGGCTGTGGCAGGGCCCTGGGCATCCCACCTTGTCACAAGATAAAGGGAAGCAGGAACAGTGGTCAGAAGAGATAAGGATCTAATTCCTGAGGCTGACAAGAAGACACACTATGTGTGAGACCCGTGACCTTCCAGTAAGACCCACATTTCTGAACCAGGCATCCCAACTCTCCCCAACAAGTCTTTACTAATTAAGATCCATCTTGGGGTGGGGAGGTAGTTCAGCAGTCTAAGCACCTGCTGGCAAGCACAAGGACCTGAGTTGGATCCCCAGTACCACAGCATAGTGACACACTTTTAATCCCAGGGCTAGGGCAGCTGAGACAGGAGGATCACTACAAGTCTGAGCTGTGTAGTGAGACCCTGCACCAAAAAAACAAAAATAAAGCAAAACAAAAATCCATGTTCCATGAATCTGTTTCACCTCAGCTTGCACCCAAAGGTAGTTCACTATGGCTTTTCATCCCATCTCCCTGTTCTCTGACCTCTACCTTCTCCACCACCCTTCCAGGCTAGTGGTGGTCACTTCCTCCAAAACCTTCTCTGATACCTTTGGGCACTGACCTCTACTCTTCTGAACTCACACAGTACTTGCTGTTTGCACCACTCAGCGTTTGGACCCAGGAGGTGGCCTGGACTGTTACACAACTTGTGGCTCCCTGTGCCTTGCCTGGCCAGTGCACTTTCATAAACGTGACAATGTCTTCTCCCTGTACACTGCCTACTGCCTTCCACAGAAATCCACATGCATACCACCTTCCCACTGCTCCCCAGGCTCCTCTCTGCCATCACACCAAGCTGCGCCCCAAGGGTGCATGATGAGACTGCACCAAAGAACGACTCATCGGTATCAACAGTTACAGGAGCTTCCCCTGGGCCAGCCCCAGGCCCATCCAGGGATAATCACAGAGGACGGCACCAGGAGCCCAGGCACTGTGGTGGCAAAGCTGAGAACAGCTAAGTCTTGGAGTCCTGAGCTCACTTTACCACAGGAGCTGCCAACGCACAAAGCCACACTGGCGAAGCAGGCCTTTGAGGCTCATGTATAAGATGGTTCCTTCACTCTGTTCCTTCACACTGGAACCAGGTTGTTATCACTTTTCACAGATGCAGCAAAAGAGGCTCACAGCAGTCACATCTCATCTGCACTTGCACTCCAGCTTTGATTCTTCTTCTTCTTCTTCTTTTTTTTTTTTCTGGTTTTGACCCTTGTTATATGGCCCAGAGTGGTAGATCTATCAGTCCACTGTCCACCTCATGGCTCACACTTGCCTCAGATCCTGAGCAACAGCACCTAGTCCCTGCCCCAGAGCTCAGTGTCTCCTGCACCACGGTGGACATCTTCATGTTCCTGCTCCTAGACCTGACCCGTATTTCTCAAGCAGACAGGCTATGAAAAGAAACTGTCACTTAACAAATGCAGTAGACAGTGCCACACTTATTTCTCTAGGCATCTCTAAGAGGTAATCAAAAACCTTCACCAAGCTGCTGTCTCTCCAACAGTACATTGTGGTAGATAGTGTTTTGCGTTAGGTTTGGGGTGAAGACCAAGGCCCAAAAGACAGCAAACTAAGAATGCCAACACTACCACACTGGAACCCAGGTCCCTGGGCAGTGCAGCAGCCCCAGTTCACCAGCCCAAACACTGGACTCTCTTGAGTGGATTGAGCAGGCTGACACCAGTCATAACCACAAAAATGGGCGCATGCCCAGGCCAGTGTTGTCCCACTGTTCTTGTTCATCCCCCGAAGTCCGCTAAACATTAGCCAGTGTACCATGGAATGGCTCTACAAGAACACAGAAGACTTATAATGTGGCTGCAGTACAGTCCCTAGTTTTTGAAGTAGGCAAGTTGCTTTCTTGCCTCAGGTCTCCCCTTCCAGAAAGAATAGAAAGAGAAATTGATTTTGGCAAATGAAAACCATGATGAGTTGGGGTATTGTCTAAATACATCCTGGGTTGTCATATGTGAAAGCGCTGCCCAGATGCTACTAAATGTCCTACTATGAACAAGAGAACACCCCAAATGTCACTGTGACCCACAGCAATGCCATGGATGAGAAGAACTGGCATAAGGATGACACATGAAGCATTCCATATTTTTTATTTTGCTGAATTCACACACCTACAATATCTAAATGGCAAAAGAATACCCACCTCTGACAAAACTAAACAAAAAAGGGGATATAAATGAAGGACCATCTTGTAGTGAAAATATATATCTGTATATACAAAATATGATAGATACACAGCTACTTTCACATAATTCAATGAGAAGAAATATTTGTACTAATACTGTTTGGACAGGATATCATGTCTGCATCTTGTACAATGAATAACTCAACAAAGACAACAATATGCAATGTATTAATTATTGTAACTGTCCTACTAACCTGTTTTGAAACTGTCTCATTGCTATTTGTTTCTCAATAAAATTAATAATAAAAAAAAAAGATAGCCAAGCTTGAGCTCTTGCCTTAGGGCACTCTGCACACTATAGGCACTCGGCAGTGGGGGGACGAGAGCAGGTCTGGGTGATCTCCAAGGCACACCCCAGTGGTTCTCACCCTGACTGCCACACCAGGCACAGGAATCTGCCAAGGGCAACTTTGCCTCCTCTGGAAGGCAGCACCAGGAAGGAATGGTGTGAAATGCCAACCTGCAGATGCAGGCTAAACACACAATGAGCAGCCTGACAACCTCGGGCCATGGTCAGAAGAGCCGGTTACTTAGGTCCCTGTCTAGCAGGAGCTAAAATACCTTGAAAGGCGAGGTTCCTCACATTCCCTCCCTTCTCTGGGGACCGAGTTGTTAAAGATACACAGCCAGCAGCCTTGCTTTTGACATATTCAAAATCACTTTTAAATACAATCCTTGGCCAAGGAGATAGTTTAGCAGCATAAAGGCCTACAAGATCTTGAGTCTGATCCTCAGTACCAAAAATAGAATAGAATAGAAAGAATAGAATAGAATAGAATAGAATAGAATAGAATATTTGTTAAAAGACAATCCTTGTATTCTTGTACCACTGGAAACTGAAAACATATTTAGTACAAACCACCCAAAGTGGAGAGAGGGTTAGGTGAAAACTACAGTAAGCTCAGGAAGCTAATGGAAATCAAGGAAGCCACACAAGAGGAGGATGCCAGGGACACCCACTAAGCCACAGGGCTTTCCCAGAAGTCCCCAGAGGGACCATGCCCTCAACCCAGAGGCAGTTGATGTCTGCAGGATGGAGGACTGACCCAGAACCTCCCTTTGTGTCTCCCTGAAGATCTGACAAGATCATAGACTCTCTGACTCACAAAGCCCTTTAATTAAAAGCCAGAGGGCTCAGAGCTAATTCTAGAATGGCAGAACTCAGTGGCTTTGCAGGAACCAGAACTTTTGAGCAGAGTAATGAGGATAATTTTGCCTTTCCTTCCTGCATGATGAATGACAATGCAGTCAACTATAAATTAGCTTTCCTGAATACCAGGCAAGGAGCCACTGGAGTGCCTTTTACTTCATGATGAGGCCCCACGGCCCAGGGGACCTGGGCCGCCCAAGCCTGGCCAGCTCACCAACTGGCAGCTGGATGCAAGATTTTGGTGTCAGCAGAGTCTCAGACCTTGTTACCAAGGATGTTTCTTACGCTCTCACCAGTGTTTCAGTGATTATGATTCACCTAGAATCTGGGGCTGCAGGAAGGAATCATATCTTTAATAAATCCCAAAAGCAACCATGCGTTAAAATCCAGCTCAGGCCTCCATGGCAGTGCATACCTATAATCCCAGAATTTGGGAAACTGAGGCTGGTGGATTACCATGAGTTCAAGGCCAAACAGGGCTACATAGTGAATTCAAGCCCAGCCAGAATTACATAGCAAGACACTGCCTCGAAAAGCCAAATAAACAAAATAGCCACTGCTCTATCATGGCTGAGCGTGTCACCGCCCCTCCTTCCTCAGCTCACTGGGGAAACAGCAAATGATTTGAGTCTAATGCTTGTACCTTAAACAAACTTCTCCATTTTCGTTAAAACTGCACTATAAAAAAGCAACAGTATGGTCCTGCCTAGGGACTGTCCATACCCCTCAGACCCGAGTGAAGCCTAAAGCCTCAGTGTTATGGCAGTCAGAAGTGAGCCCCACTGGGCTGAGGCCTCCTGCGAGATGGGAGAGGCTACTGCCTTCAGCACTGTGTGGCATGCAAGGCCACTGGAAACGGCTCTCCCAGACCCCAGACCTGCCAGCGCCAGATCTTGGACTTCTCATTCCCATGTCTAAGCCAAGGGGCTGTCTGTTGAAACTGCACCTTAAGTCTATCATCGTGAGTAATGGCAAAGCCATCTCACCATGCTACCAGTAATCCCTCCATTTACTGGCTCTCGAGCTTGAATTTGTCCATGCTAATGATGGCCAATATGTGTGCATATCCTTTACGCACAAAGCACTTTATGAAATGTCTTTCCTCATCCAAATGGCTTCAGTAGCATCTACTTCTCCTTTTCCTGATACGCAGACTGGTTATTGTGGAGCACCTTCTGAGGTCCAATAACTGGTCAATAGCAGAGAATCTTCAGTGTGCCACTGTGGTTCTCTCTCCCATAATAACTGCTTTCTCACTCGGCACTGCGTTGACACACAGGAAAACCAGGTGCCACAGAGCCTGGAAGTCACCTCCTTCAGCACACCAGCTGAAGGGTCTCTGGGAGTGGTGAATGAGGCGGTGGCTATGACCTGATTCTGGGGTCGAGATGCAGCTGCACACCAATATGAACACACATAGGACAGTCACATAAGACAGTCACCACCACCAGTGGGCCGAGTCCTTGTTGAGGACATTCAGATGGAGGGACAGTGACCAGGAGGAAAAATCTCCAAGGTCTATACTGCCAACTTTCACTACCTTCTGGTGTCTCTTCCACCTCATGAAGATGCTGAGC